GGACTGAGATCTAGGAGCTATTTTATTACTATGAATGTATCTTACAATTTCTTTTTGCAATGTTAATATTTATACAAGTTTCTTCAATATCTTCAAAGGCCTTGATCATGAAAGAATCCAATACTGTTCTTTCATCCAAAAATGAGACTCACTCAGCCTTTGTGGGTTATCCTTGTATGGAAATCCAAATTCAGTTCCCCGTGAATCGTGAACCTCTACAAAACGGGGGAGGGAGGTGTTGTAAGCATCAATTCAAGTGGTCTTTTCAGTTAGCCCAAATTCAATCCAGAATTATAATTAAAATAAATAATTAAAAACACATTTACTAATATAGTTGACCACGGTCGAATAATCATATGGGTAAACTGTCACTGCCTCTCCGTATAATGTGTCGGTGTCTGCATCAATACTCTGGCAATTGAAGAACTGAAAAATAGGATGTCCCTCTGATAGTTTCCAGCACAAGTGTGCAGCAGCAATAAGAAAGATGAAAGTGATTAACTCAGAGAATGTCTTTGTGAAATTCAAGTTACGCGTGGCTCACTGCCCGGGCAATCCCCATAGTCACAACTGTAAACGTCACGATTACTGTTTTTGCAAGCTAGAGATAAATTTGGAAATTTTTTAACAAATCAGGAACTGTGACGATGGAATGTGAGCTGGTACGTCGGCCATTTTGGTGCTTACTTGCAAGACCATTGATTATACCAAAGTCAGTATCACATTTTTGTGGTGGTTCATTGCCTTGTCGTCTTTGCATAAGGGTGTGTTTGCGCGACTCTAAAAGCTGAACAGAGGACAAGAGAGTCATAATGAGGACTGCATAGATGAAGCAAGATTGTTGGCACCAATCGACGAGGAACATGTTTGGTTGCAACTTGGGATATAATGGTTATGGTATGTAGATGTGAGGTTAAAGGATGTGGTTGAATGTCATCTGAAGCGGGACCAACCAAAGCTTTTATATATTGGATGGGTTCAGTGTTGCGCTTGGGTGAGGGTCAATGTCATCGTTTGTGGCCAACTCTGCCGGAATGTCGAGTTGTTGTAACCTGTGGCCCGTTCCGCCACCTGGTTCAGTTCCGCCGGAGCTGTCGCGTTGCGGCCGATTCTACCGCCTCGGACGTGTTGCTATAGGTTGCTATGAACCACGTTTTCTTATACGCACATTCACGTTATACGAGATGCATAATAAACATCTGCGGTAACCAGAACTTGGTTGTCTCGATAGGTCCTGATGATTTCAAGAGCCTCGTCGAGCCTCATCACACGATGCCGCCCCACCAGTGGAGCATATATTCAGTGTAGCAGCACCAAAGTTTTTCAAGCTAACAAGATAAAACGCCAAATGTGTGACGCGGCTAGAATGTTGGAAAAAACCTCAAAAAATTTTGGTATTCTGGTTTCTCGTCCCAAACCCTGACGGCTTCCTGTGATGTGATGCTCTTTTAAGGATTGCATGTTACCGCTGCTAGCTATGTCTGGAGTTCAATGTTTACCAAATGGCCCCACAAGCTATCACGAGCGAACGTAGCGAAGTGCTTCCATCGGAGGCGCGAGGGATTTGACAAGTTCGGGACCTCGTGAGGGTCCCTTCCCGACGACGGCTGCGACCACGCCTCGCTGCCTGCGGTACCACAAGCTGAAGGGCTGGAGTCGAAGCAAGATGCAGGTAGAAATTTCATGCCCCTAGAACCATTGTGGAAGTGAGTGAGGTGAAAGGAAATTGAAATGATCATAACTGAGTGGTGGTAGGCTGCTACGATGCGAGTGCTGGCTTGAGGAAAGCTTACCTTCACGCGCGTGGTCCAATGTTACACCAGCGCTCAAGGTTAAAGGTCTCTTTCAACTGCAAGTTGCAACATCACCCGGCCCATCCTTTTCCATATTTACGTGAAGAGGTATTTTGCAGCATGGATTTCATATGGAGTTTTGATAGTGATATGATAGCTGTACCGGAGAAGCAGATGCTTGTTGTCTGATACTATCAACTAGTTTGTGAACACTTTTACACTCTTTCGAATCTGATGGCATGAATGTCGCCGTGGATATATTGTGCCTTCGTCTTCTTCTTTCATCTCTAGTGGACTGGCCAGGTCTATGTTCTTTTGATTGATCCGATCACTTCGTTCGACATCTAAGCCCATCTTGCTTACTATCAATACACTATAGGTGTGTTCATCCTGTCAATATTTACACAACATATCTCTTTGGGGTTCTAATACGCAACCTTAATAACAAATGCGGTGACTGTTCCTATTACGAAATCCTATATTCATCGATTTATTTCAAGATTAGTTTATATGGGGTCGAATAGTCAATACTCATCAACATGCTACTTACGTTTGACCAAACTTCATTGTAGACCTTGTCATTGGCTTGATCCCAATGAGAAACTAAGCCTGCTCTAAATCCACGCAGATTGATTGATGCAGAGACGGTTTTCATCAATTTCGAGCCATGTCTGGTTATCAATCTTTCAATGAAATTCGTCTCTCTCACCTGCCCGCTTGTCCTTTATTTTCGATCACTTGTGTACAAATCATAAACTTATAGCCATTGGGATAGAATTCTAGAATCGAATCAAATAATAACGAAATATATATTCAACAAACATTTCATTCAATTTTCTTTTTTGCAAACATTTAGTCAAATTGGGGAGAGTGACACACTTTCACTTTTGGTTGACGAATTTTAGGTGATGGGTGTATATGTATAGATATTCAAAAAAAAATAGCATTACCTATGAGCACTTTCTGGATAGATTCCCCGATACTCTGGTTCAACTCCTTCAAGCGATGTTGGTTATTCGAATGCGAGAAGGATTCTTTTTCACTTGAAAGATCATTAGTGATGTTGAGCTTAGATGATAGGATGGCTTGAATTTTCGTCTGTATTGAATGATCCTGTTCTGGCGTCTTTTGATTGATCCTGTGTCGTTGAGGATCGATGAAACAAAAAGAAACGAAACTTCTCAGTTCATGTCCGGCAATGAAAATCTAACAGGAACTATTCTGAAAGGGTGACATACAGTGTTTGGTCTGAGTTGATCGGATGATCATTCGTTATGGATGACATCGTTGGCAATGGTATTCCTTTGGAGCAATCTTAACTGGCTGATTCGAGAGATGTAGGGTTTTGGCCTTGGAGTTGTCGCAGGCACCCCCCGTCGGGAAAGGATGGTTTCCCCGGACTGACGGGGATCGTGTACACGCGTCAGATCCCCGATCGACCACTTCTCAGTGACAGAGCTCCATAGTGGTCAACACGGACCAAAGCCAAGCCATCGACCATCCAACCTCAACAAACCATTTGGCCATGTCAACCAATAACTTTCGACCAAGCGATCCACATCGGGCCTCACTTCCTGCCGATCTCACCAGTCTATCTCAAAGGTTCTCTCCGCTCTTTCAAACTAGGAAGCCTAGAGCTTCGTCGATCTACAGTCGCCCAATCTTTCCTACCCCTAATGTCCCCTCAAGACACATCTCAACCTCAACTACTTCAACCGCTGTCTCAGGATCAACAACCCTTGCTTCGAACAGCTATACCGTCTCATCTTTGGATGTGAATCTGGTCGCCTTTGAGTTGCTGTTTGCTGAAATCGTCAGATACACTCAGCAACGAGTCGATGGAATCGGCGAATTTGAGAAAAAGTTGAGCACGCCACCACTTCACCTACTAAAACTATTCCTACAATTTTGAAAACAGGAAGCTTTTTTTTATTATCGAATTTCAAAAAATGGGAATATTAACGGTGTGGTTTGGTCAAGGTAGATTAAATATATTAGGATACCAAGTTGGAAGTCGACTCTTATCATTGCTATCGCTACGTGACGCATTATCAGGATCGCCCAATGCACTCAGCCTGAGTACCGGCAAGAGCATCAGCCTAGGTGGTGGTTCGATCAGTAGCGCCTCATCAGCTGTGCCAATTCGCTTGATACGCCTCGTTCCAGTGTTGAGTTGGATTCATTCTACACTCTGGAAAACCGTAGTGGGAAAAGCTGCAGATGTTTTGGTGAGAATCTAGCGATCCTTCTTGACATTTTCTCTGTCTGTTTTCTGATCGTGCATATAATTTGTTGATTGTGCTAGGAACACTCAAACGAAAACGAAGATGAGTACATGATCTCTGATAATGATCTACTGATCACCCGAGCAATCACCATTCCTAAAGACATGTCACAACTGAGCTGTGGAGCTTACATGGCCGGGATTGTTGAAGGAGCATTGGATGGCCTTGGATTTGTAAGTCACATCTTCTTCAATACATTCACTTCTTTTTCTTTCAGTATTTTCCTCTTGTATCTACGGATTTCAATTTTCCACCCTACATCTGTTTTTTTTTCGTTATGGTCTAACCTGATGATGTGCTTCTGGTCTAATCTGTTGATATGAAACTTGGACCTACCCAGCCATCCAGAGTGACTTCGCATTCCGCCCCCTCTCCACAATTCCCCAAACGGACAACCCTGTTAATCAAGTTTGAGAAAGCTTGTATTGACAGAGAAAAGACATTTTCAACTTGATCTATCAAAACAGGTGTAATATAGATAAAAAACAAAACAAAAGCAAAGAAATTTATAAGTGTCTAAAAGTAATCATGGCTGCCCCACCGATAGACTCCATTCCATGCAATATCACATGATGTGGAGTTCCAACCTGTCTGGAGCTCAGGAGGTCTGAGGGAAGGTTATTAATCCTCCCAGCTGTCGCGAGTGGAAAGTTTAAGTGGATAGGGTGCTTTGGAGTGAGGCTTCTGCCCGCTACCTCTAACCTAGTCAGTCAAAGTCGAGAGTTCTGGGGCTATCTCTATCAGATGTGGGCCGTCGAGATCCCCCTCTGGTCGATCACCCGGGAGCCAGAGGTGACACAGTTTGGGAAGATAACCCAACTGGAAGAGCATGTCCACACCGGAAGACCAGAGTTCCAAGGCAAACAGAGCTGAGCTTGGGATCTTTTTCAAGTTCCACTGTGCAGGCATGAAGTGGTGATCCCGGTACCCCCTAGCTTCGAAGGATAGAAGACAGCCTTCAACATTGATCAGATTTTGTACTTGTACAACACTGTTCATACTTGCCAATGAAGAGATAACCTTGACTGGTGGGTTTCACAATCAAAAGATTCCCCCCCAGTGCTCAGGAGGTCACGTGTGAGTGAGATGATTGTTTTCTTCTGGCAAGCTTCGGCGGGGGGACCGACCGTTCCCCACTGATCTTCGGTGCGTGACAAAAAAATCGGGGGGGCCGGGGTAATGTAGCACTCAGTCCGGCCTCCAGGCTCCAGCCAATGCCATCCAGTCTTCAACTACGCCGTCACACTGCACAAACCCCATCAACCCACACAAACCTCACTACACCGCACCATCATGGCTCAGTCCTCCGAAAACCCCATCGAACGAGAACAGAAATATCTCTACAAAAGTCTGCACAATCAGCTCACTTCACTAGGGATCAACACCGTCGAACAGTTCTCCCGGCTTGATGAGAGCGGTAAGCCAAGCACTCGCTCATCAACACTGCGTCCAACCAATAACCATCTGACATCTATCTATTCTTTTACAGAAAAAAAACAACAGATCGAACTGCTTGGAGAAAAAATCATAGGAAAAATCACCATGTCAGGTTTGGCTGGACAGCTTAAACAGGCAACCTCGAGAATTACTTCGCTTTATCATGACGGTCGCTTCGAAGCTTTCGAGCCTCTCATCGCGGTCATTCTCTCCGACGACGCCAAATCCGATTCAGAAATGTATGAGTTCATTGACACTCAATTCACCACCCGCTCAACCCATTCATCAGCCATGAGGACCGGTACCGCAGCCGGCCTCATGAGCTCTTCCAACAAGCTTTCCGACATCCTTCCTGTGCTAAAACGGGAATTGAACGATTTAATGTACACTGATGTTCCAGGGTTGGTGGATCATTTCATCAAACTTCACACCAATTCCGCCTCGCTCCTCAAATGTCACATTGATCCCGCGTTTCTCCTGCAACCCCTCGAAAACGTTATTAATCAAAAGTTTACAGAAAGATTAACAGACACCTCGGAGCATTTTGTGTTGGATTGGATCACACCGCTTCTAGAAAAAATCTCTTCCTGTCTGCAGTCGAACATATCAGCCCCTCAGCATTCTCGTACTTGGCGGTCCCTGCGTTATAAGCCTATAAAGGGCGTCGATGGACAACGCAAGTGCGATGGTGCGATCATGTCCAAGTACTCCAAGGACGACAATCACATTCAAGATATTCTAGTCCCTGTCGAGCTCAAGAAGAATAAATCAGATGGCCAAGAGGCAGCTCTTTGCTTGGCCAAATACGTCCTGGAGGTCTTCAAAAAGCAGCCCACCCGAAGCTATGTCATCGGTTTTACACTGTGCGGAACTTGGATGCAGCTCTGGCAGTTCGATAGGTCCGGAGCCATTGGTTCTGAATCATTTAACATCAAAAGTACTGAAGAAGAGTTCAAGAGGTTTCTCAATCTCATTACATTGTTTTTAACGTCAAATAAGCAAGTCCTCGGCTTTGATCCAACCTTCGTCGATATTGACGGGCAGACTTGTACTCCAGTACCGCAAAAGATACAAATCAGGATCCAGCACGAGCTTCAAGAATTCGTAATAGACAAACTCATCTCCCGAGCGTCAGGCATCTGCGGACGTGGGACAACCTGCTGGGAAGCCCACCTCTCTGGAAATCAGGGTGAGAAATTTCTGATAAAAGATTCGTGGCAACCTCGAGAACAGAGATCAGAAGGGGATATGCTTCGCGACTTGACAGCAAGAGATGTTCCCAATGTGGTGCGATATTATCATCACGAAGACGTCCACGTTGCCACCCAGATAGTCGACATTAAATCTTATGTGCGAGGGGACATCAATTTCGAAAGCAAATCGAAGATCCAAATCGTTAAAACACCCATTGCTCAACAAGAGCAAAATCACTTTACCGATCGGGTTCTTAGACGTTTGATCCTCAAAGATGTGGGGGTACCCATTTGGAAAGTTGATTCTCCGCTTCGTTTGTTGGAGGCCCTTGAGGGCTGTATTACAGGGCATCTGGCCTTATTGAAAGCGGGCTATCTTCATAGAGATATCTCCATCAACAACCTCATGATTAACAACAAGACAACCGATCCGGATCGAAAATCATTTGTGATCGACCTAGATTGGGCGACCCCCTACCCTACGCTGAATGATCGAGACCTCCATGCAAGAATCGGCACGAAAGCGTTTATGTCGATCAATTTGCTTATGGGAGAAGATTCTCACACTCACGTGGATGACCTGGAATCCTTCTTTTGGGTCTTGACATGGATTTGCATCCAACCTGCTGTCAACACGAATAAACAAACTTTGGTGACTGAGTGGAATCATCTGCCCCTGCAAACTCTGGCGGTCAACAAGATAGGCTACCTTGCTAAACCTCACCACCTGACAGACAACTTCATGCCTCAGTACAAAAAACTTAAGCCTCTTGTCCAGTGTGTCCACAACTTTGCAGAAATCATGGCTGATCCTTTTGTGAGAGAAGAAAAAGAACCTACAAGACTTTATTGTAAAATATTGGAGCTTCTACATCAAGCTCAAGAAAAGCTGATTGAGACACAACAACCAAGCCAGTCACAAGCATAAGTAGGTCCACAATTCTTCCTCTGCCTTTTTTTTCCAGCTTACTGACCCAACCTATCACATTTCTAGGATTCTACTTTTTGTTTACATTTTGTTTCATTCTGATATCATCATTGTTCTGCCATTGATCACCTATCCTGGCCTGTGGTTGTATGTGATTCTTCTCCCTTTTGAAATCTTTCTGTTTTTCTGAACTGTGTCAAATCATTGGAAGGGTGATTGGCTATATTATTTCCCTTTTGCTAGGATGATATGTGCAACCACCATACTTTCTATTTTTGTTGTTGTCCTATTCATCTTCTTTTCCTCCTGCTACACACTTTGCACCTGTTTAGGTCACTATAGCATTGCTCACCACTATAGATATACTCTGGAATATGCAATACAGCCCTGTTGCTTTTTAGGGATTGTGGATTGAATCAGACAATCAGCTCTCTGTTCAATGTTCTTGACCTCAGACAGAGCAGATATAGCCCTTCAGCTTGGACAAGGTTACTATCAGGTGAGAGTAAAATCAGATAGACCATTTCAAAGCAAGCTAAGTGATTCCTAACTCAAAACAAGTCCTACCCTTCTGCAGGCCTGGTGGGTTGGTTGGTGCCAATGGTGGGCCAGCTACGCTAACCGTAGCGCAGCAAAAATGTGCTACTTTGTAGCATAGCGTTAGCAAAAAATCCACCTTTATGCGCTAACGCTACGCGTAAAGGGCACAAGAGTGTGTTAGCTGTTAGCATAGCGTTTGTTGGGATACACATATGCTTATAGATCATATGCTATATGCATCAACCAAAACTTCAGTAATCTTGTATTTAGCTCTCACTAGATTACTATAGTTGGTTTTTCCTCCAGTGAATCAAAACCATATTTTCTCACTCACAAAGTGTCACTGGCTTGTCAGCCGTGAACTTTGGATTTTTCCCTTGCGTCTCACGCAACAGCGTTAGTGCAGAAAGTTGGAATTGCGCTAACACTATGCGCTCAGGGCACAAAAAAGTGCCCGCTACGCCACGCTACAGCGCTTTTTAGCGGTTTGTTTGCCTTTTTTGCCGCTAAAAGCACTGTAGCATAGCAGCGGTAGCGGTGCGCTAACACTACCCAGAAACAAGCCACCTGTTAGCGGTGCTACAGCGTAGCAGCGGTAGCAACACGCTAACACTACAGAAAAAAGGGTCCGTTTTAGTGCCGCTACGCTAACGCTAAGTGGCCCTTTAGCGTAACTCAGGGTGTAAGTGGGCTGGGTTCGGGCTGAAAAACAGTGCCCAAATCCGACCCAACATAAGTCTTGGGGCAGGTCGGGTCGGGACAGAAAAGGAATTCTGCTGCCTGAATCCAAACCCGTCTTGGGATGTTTTGGGTTTGGGTCGGGCAGCATCGGGTCTGGGCCAACCCGACATATTTAGTGAAAGAAAAATGAGAGGTATAATATCATGCTAAATTCTTTTCTTCATCAAAACACTATGGGCATGTATATACAGTGTAACTACAGGGCTTTTTTGAGATAAAAAGATGAAAAATAGAAACAAGTCAATCAATCACTAAGAGTCACTACATCATATTCATTGTCATTGATTTCATCAAAGCAAAAGAGGCTATCTTCAACTTTGATCCAGTCTTGACCACACACCAGGGCCTCAAGGGTATCGGTGTTCATCTTGCTTAGGAAGTCGCTGAGTACTTGGCCTCCAGTCGAGAATGCTGATTCCGACGCAATTGATGTCATCAGAGTCATGAGGACTGTTTTTGCAAGGGTTGCAAGGAGAGGATATCAAACCGCATTGTCGCGCCACCAGTTGAGGATTTGAAACTTAGGAGTGTCAATCCCAACTGGTAGTTCCTGAAGATAAAGGTCGAGCTCGGCTGTTGCCAAAGTTGTATTGATGGTATTCTTCCCTGTGAGAAACATCTTGTAGTGCTCACGTCCCTTGTCTTCTGGGTTACTTGGCTGATTTGTTTTTTTTTTGATTGTTTTCATGGTTCACATTGGGCTGGCTGTTGGTTTCTTGCTGAGCTTGAGTCAGCTCGGTAAACCACGTATAAAGCAACAATTTGATATTCCTGACAATCTCCTTAGCCTCGCTGACTCCAAATTCGTCGAAGAGTAGAAACTCCAGAAGCTCTAACTTGCAACGAGGGTCAATAACCATATTGATCGCGGCAAAGTCTTTCATCTTATCCCAATACTTCTTGTACTTTGCCTGCATCGGCTCGATTAGTGCAACAACGTGTTCAGGCCCTGATCCAACAGTTTTTGATAGGTGTCAATTGATTTTTTTCATGTATTTGAAGACTATGTGCGCAGTTGGATGATGGGTCATCCCAACTTTCAAAGCTGCTGGTAAGATAAACACAAAGATCAGTCACTTATCTGAAAAAAGGAAATGACCAAGGAAAAAAACCTACCGGTGTTGAAAACGTCGAGAAAATCATGCATAGCTGATATTTCTTCCCACTCGTCCGCACTAGGGCAATTGGTGAAGTTGGAGTCTTGAATTGATAAGCTTTCAAAAGCGTCTTTGTATGGAAGTGCTGATTTGAGCATCAGAAAGGTTGAGTTCCAGCGGGTTGGGACATCGACAGATGGGAGAGCTTGCTGTTTGATATTGGCCAGCTTGATTGCATCCTGGAAGGCCTCCTTGCGTGATGGTGTGCTCTTGACATAGCAAACACTTTCTCGTATATTTTTCATGGCATCTGAGAGAAACCAGAGTCCATCCTTCATGATGAGATTGATGATGTGGGCAGCGCAACATACATGAAAAAATTTTCCATTCAGAGAGGGAGGTGACTTGCTGTGATCCATGAGAATGGATAAAACTCGAGAGATCGCAACATCATTCGAGGACGTGTTGTCAACGGTTATGAAGGCAACCTTGTCGATAAGCTTCCAATCAAAAATAGTCGAGATGAGCTGATCTGAAATCGCAATGCCAGTGCGGGGAGTTGGAAGCGGTTTAAACAAAATCAGGCGCTTGTTCAGAGTCCAGTCATTGGAGATGAAATGGGCCAATACCACCATGAATGGGGTCTGGTTAGATGATGTCCAGAGGTCAGTTGTTAAGGCCACACAATCAACTTTTGTCATGTCATGGAAGATATTTCTTCATTGTTTGATATAACTTCATGATGTCGGTCTTCACAGTTGCACGACCAAATATTTAGAACCGAGGCTGCAAGGAAGCAATGAAAGCTTGAAATGCCGGATGATCGACTAACTTGAATGGTTGCTCTTGCACCATGATCATCTTTATCAGTAGTTTTTGAGAGTTTTCTTGACAAAATACCCAATTAGTGGGTGCCTTGCCTTTGGCAACCGTAAGTAACTGCTGCTTGCTCTTGCTAGAATACGTGCTGCATCGTTGAAGGTGGTGCCAGAGGTGGTTTGTACCGTTCGTGCTTTTCCCATCTAATTTCTGTTTGCAGTACTTGCACACAGCGTCTACATTGGTGCCTGTTATGAGTGGCAAGCCGCAAAATGGTTAGCTTTTTGACCAGAAAATTTATTTATATCTACAGTCACTCACCACAGATGATTTTATTGAAATGTAACCA